ATTTAAAAAAAGGTATTACTCGAATACGTTTTTATTCAACATTTTTAATTAAATAAAAAAAAAGAAAACAATTTTCAAAATTGTTTTCGTTAAATTAAAAAAAAAAAAGAAATAAAAAACGTATTATTCAAATACATTTAGGAAAACGTATTTCAGAAATACGTCTTCCATAAAATTATTTTTTTTAATAAATCACCCGATTGAATTGAAAAATATATTTAAATAAAACGTATTTGGGGAATACGTTTTACAATTAAATGCATATAAAACGTATTCCTTAAATACGTTTTAAAGTAAAAATATATATTAAAAAAAAATCTCTTCTTCTCCATCCATTTTACACGACCAACAGAGGAGAGAGCACAGAGAGGAGAGCAACAGAGAACAAAAAGAGCGAAAAAACTTCAGAAAAAAAAAACAAATCGATCCAATTCTCACCTCGACGTGAATCGACAACAGCGACACGAACCTTATTTCCGGTTAATTCATTCGCACGAGGTATATTGGCTTATCTTAACTTTTTATATTTATTTGGTGTTAATTGAAGATTGAGAATTGTTGTAATATGTTTGAATGTGGTGGTGTTTGAAGATTGAAATTGCTAACTGATTAAACGATTATGTGTATATGTTGAATTGGAGATTGGAATTTTGTGTGTAAATTATTAATATTGTGTAATTGTTTGGTTGTTATTGGGGTCAGGGTTTTTCGAAATTAGGGTTAGAATTAGTGTTTCAATTTATCAGAATTATAGATGATTTCTGTGTTATTGTTCGATAAGGGTATTAGGGTTTTGGAGGATTATTTGATTGAGAATAATTTTTTTTTTATGGTTTTTTTGGTTGAAAGTGAATTATATGTTATTGATGGATTATGAGTATTAGGGTTTGATAAAAGAATTCGTGATTTTATTTTTAACAGGTATAAATGGACGCTACCGGACCATACTTTGTTAATGTGTATTGGAATCATCCCAAAGAGGTTTTAAATTCATTTTCAGATTTTATAAACTGTCTGGATGGTTCATTTAGCATTGGGGAAAATGAAGCCCGCAAAAATGAAGTCCTATCTCGCGAATCCATGCTATCCTGCGATTCCTCCAAGAGAGCCCTGCCTAGCCCGCGAGTTTCATTTTCGCGCCCGCGAAAGCAGCCTAACCCGCGAGTCCCCAGAAGTGCCCATGCCTGCTGCCCGCGAATTCCACACTTCGCGCCCGTGAACCCCTCCTAACCCGCGAGTTCCGTGCCTCCTGCTGCCTTGCCCTCGGATTTTGCTAGCGAAAATCCACCTTTTGCTCGCGAGTTCGACCTATCCTGCGAGTTTTCTTCATTTAATGTGTGTGTTTTAGTGTGTGTTTGTGGTGTAGCTATAAATAGACATTATGCTTTGTATTTTGGAGAGAATTCCTCATTTGCTAAATTTTTCTTTTTAGTTTTTTCCTCTCTTCTCTCTCTAGTTTTCTTTCACTCTCTAAGGACTCCAAGACCCTATTTTTAGTGTAATATTTCTCCGTCAAGATTACAACGTTACGACTTATTTCTTCTCGTGGATGCATTAGAGACGTGGAGACTTCGCTTAAGGTTCATGATTTCGTTAGTCTGGCTTGTCTTTACTTATTGGATTTATTCTAAGGTTAAGATAGGCACGTCCATGAGTCGATTATGCTATCATCCTCGTAGGCTAGGGATTATGTGATATTGTTATTGATTGCGTGAGCGAGAATTGATTGGGAGGTTAATTGATCACGAGTGACTATTGCTTGGTTGCATGTTCCCGAACTTATGAGTGCCTTCTTTCCATCTCGGGTCTAGGAGTACCTTGTTATTTTTCTCTTTATTTTCCTTTTTTATTGCAATTTGAGGTGTTGCTTGCTAGTTAGTTTGAATCTTGCTCTCGTTTAGTTTAAAGATGTCGTCTTTAGCTTAATATATCAAACCTCAAATTGCGAGTAGAGTGTTGATTAGGATTTTTATTTTCTTTTCTTGTGTGAGTCGATCCTTATTTTGAGAATAAATGACCCGAGTCCGAGTAACTCGGTTACCAACTACCCAAAAATACTACAAACACTACATATATAACTTTTATATATAATAACAATGACATTATATTACAATAATTTTTATAATAAAATAAAAATTGAGTATTATACGAGGAACAAGGGTAAATAAAATTTATTCTTCTTATATAAAGGATTAAATATGTATACTAAATAAAATTTATATTACGGTAAGTCTGTAAAGGTGTTAGCAAAAATATATATTAACTAATTTATGGCTAGCGCTAACAGGCTCAGATTTAACGTCCCTAAAAAAATATGACGCTAATGAAAAGAGGTTGAGAATATATGATCTAACTCTATTGTTTTTTAGACTTTAATGTACAAGCCCTACAAAAATAACTTATTTAATATATATATTCCGTGCATGGTATATGACGTGCAAACTCTATGAAAATGAAAAGTAGTTGTGAGAATAAAAAAATCCATAATTGCAAAGTAAATTTCGGCGCTAGTCCATTTATTTCGACACTATATCAATAAAGATGTTACAGACGTACAAGAATTTAATAATTACCAATTTTTTATTAGAAGGGAATGTTTTGAATGAATGGTATAGTGTCGGCTCTCTTATGTAACCTCTATTATGTTTGAAATTCATATAATATGGAGAGATTCTACGGTCCCGTTACAGAACTATTCCGTCGGGGTTTGTAACCGTTAAATCAACTGTCCACAACGGTTACATGATGATCTAACGGTTACAAATCTCGACGGAATGATTCCGTCACGGGACTGCAGCATTTTCCTATAATATGTTTCGTACTTGTACACTAATAGCCGACGCTGGCACTCCCGTATCTTTCAGCAACACATAATTTTCCCCGTGTTGTTACACAATTTGTTTTGTACGCCAATATTGAGCGATAAATAATTACCCAAAGCCTTCTTGTATTGGAATCAATTTATTCTAATGCATACATTTTTATTGATAAGTAAAACGTACATGGTATTAGGCATATATCTAGCTAGAACCACGCATACAATATCAATATATGTCCTCGATATAGTAACGACGACAACACCACCACCATTGGCATTAGTTGCCGGTGGTGACCGCAATCTTCATTCCGCTGTTGCAGTGCCCAGATGTAGAGCAGATGAAGTAACGCGTTCCTGTTGCATTTAAGTTAACAATAGTTGGTTCAGAGTTCCAGCTCTCTCTGGGGTTGGGTTGGCAGTTGTCGTAGTCACTCTTGCTTACCTCCATCACATCGTGGAAGCGTAGGTCAAACAGGAACACTAAATTAACACGACAAACACGACGACATTAAGAGTACGTTGTTTTGTATAACATAATAATTAGCAGGCAAAAATAACCTCTTACCGAGTTTGTCACCCACTTTGAAATTCTTGTCCTTAACCCAATTGGCATCGTAGTGCAAGTCCCAACCGTTAGTAACACCATCACCACCAACAATGTATTGCTCGGCTTGAGCCACATCAACCAACAAGGTGACGGCAACCATCATCACCAGAGCGGTGGCCGCGACACTATTCGCCGTACCTCTTTCCCCAGCCATAATACAATATTATATTAATGAAGACCAGCCTTAATTAGAATTAACCAAAATATACGCAAGGAAATCAAGCTCTTATTAATTTTTCCTGTTTATGAATGAAAGTATGCAAATGGGGCCGCTGTTTATAAGCGGGTGGAAGGGATCCTACTGTAGCTGCTTTGGCTTTTGGGACCCACCTCAATTCTTTTTTCATGCGCAATTATATTAAATAAATATTTGAGTTTGTTCTTCAAATATGCATAGCTTTTAGTAATTTTCGTTTTAGTCAATGTCCAACATATTATGATCGCCGTATGAATTCTTTAATTTTTTCTTTTACGTACTTTACCAAAGGATTAATTGCATAAAAACCTTAACCTTTTGTTTAATTACAAATAAAATTCAATTTTTTTTAATTTAGCAAAAAAGTACCAAACTTTTATTAAGTGTCGCCATTTTGTCTTACCCGCCGGACCTCCGCCAACCGCCGCCGCCAACTGCCACCTACCGCCGGCCAATTTTGTCGGATATTGAAAATTTTTACATGATCTTGTAGCTCTCCTCCGTGTCGACTACATATCCGAGTTTCACGAAAAAATTTCGACGATAAGACTTCCAATTTTCCGGTCAAAGGTCGTAGATCTCAAATTTTCTATGACCTTTGACCAAAAAATTGGAAGTCTTATCGTCAGAACTTTTGTCAGTGTGTGAGTATATTAATTGATTGTGTGTGTACCCATCATATTTAATTTTGTCTTCATCACTACCGCGTGCTCAAGTTATCATTATAATAAACTACAAATTTAATTTTGTGTGATCTATTTACTATTTTATTGTCATGATAGACATGAAAACATATTTTAAATTCTAACCATATTATTTTTATTTTTTTTACAAATATTGACTTTTCATCCTAAAGTATTTATGAAAAAATTGTAACATGTTAAGCAATTTTGTTTTTTCTTCTTTGTTTCATTACATATAAAAAAAGAAAAATAAATTATTCTTTAAATTAATATAATTTATCATTTAGGAGATAATGACTAGATTTATTAATTAATTATATTAATGGGCAGATAATAAAACTAAAATACATTGACTATTCTTTAGAATTTCAACGTGTGATTTAGTTGTATATTATATTAATCATGATTTTTTTTATTTATTATTTAATTTTTTTCCACAGTTAAATTCTTTTAAAATATAGTATGTTGAATAGACTATAAGGCTTTAAGATACAAATTATAAAAATCTCTTGATTATAGAAGGGATTTCGTTTTTGGCAATTATTAAATCAAAGATGTTTAGTTATTATAAAAAAAAAATCTAAAAAATATGTGTGTATATTTTGTAAAATATTTGCACACAATTTTTTATTTTATATTTATTATTTAAATTAATTATTAACAAATAACATGAACTTAAAATAAAAAAGAAGAAGAAGATTACATCTACAACTTTTATATATAATAATAATGACTTTATATATGATAAATTTTATAATAAAATAATAATTGAGTATTATACGAGTAATAAGAATAAGTAAAATTGTTATTTTTCGTATATCAAGGAATAAATATATATACTAAAATAAAATTTATATTACTATAAATGTGTTAGCAGAATAATATATTAATTAATTTATGACTAGCGCTAACAGGCTCAGTTATAATGTCCTGACAAAAAACTAACGCTAATGAAAAGATGTGGAAAATAGATGATTCAACTCTATTATTTTTTAGACCTTAATGGACAAACCCTATGAAAATAACTCATTTAATATCTCTACCTCGTGCATCACACGAGCTATATAACAGACAAACTCTATGAAAATGAAAAGTAGTTGTCGGAATAAAAAAATCCATGATTGCAAAGTAAATTTCGGCGCTAATCCATTTATTTCTAGTTTTACTCTCCCGATAACTTTTTTATAATATTCAGCTCAAAATTTACTCAAATTTATTACAACTCAACCTTTTTCAGTACCATATGTATTAGTACAATACTCTTGTATTACACGGATGCTTGTTAATATCCGTAAATTATACGGCTTACATCTTAGAATATAATAATTTTCTAGCTTATAGCATATAATTAGTTCGTAGTTAAATTTATTTAAATATTTTTTTAGTTAACATTAATATATAATTTAATTCTTGTTATAGAGATAAATATATTTATTTATTTATTTATTTTTATCTACAATACAAATGTCAAATCGAATATCATCAACACATGATTAAATTGATATATTATGTATGAAACATTGATAATAAATAAAAAAGTTATTAGCTTTAAAATTTATTTATAATATATGTTAGTAATATTTTTCATTTATAAAAGAAAGATGAAGAAAAAAAGAAAGATTAGATAATAAATTATGTCTTATAAACTACGTCTAGAATAGAAAAAGATATTAAAATATAGATAATTCTCTTAAAAATGTTCATAAATATCAGGTATTTTTGCAAGCTTAGTTATTTTTGGATTGAGAATAAATTAAAATCCTTCAAAGCCAGATGAAAAGGCATGAAAATTTGTCACATAAGATTCCGAAGCGTGTAAGTCTGCCACTTAGGTTCAACACATTCTGGAATTACATATAAAGGGGATATTTGAATAACATCATGATTCTAGGGGAGTGTATTTAATTGAGATTTTTAAGGACTTTTTAATACTTTTTTAATTTTGTGATTTATGTGAACTTTGTAAAACTTTCATGACTTTGGTGGAATTTTTGAGACTTTCAGATAATTCTCATTAGAGTCTTTTTAAGACTTTTATAATGGACTTTTTTAAACTTATTGAGACTTTATATACTTGGAATTATAATTATTATGTTTGCATGAAATGTTCATGAACATAGCATAATAACTAAAAAAAAATAGAGGTTTTGTATCCTCTAATGACTTATGAACCGTGAACATATTGTTTAGGGTTATAGATTTATTAAACGAGCAAATTGATCCGAGTTTCAGAAAGTCAAACTCGAGCAGGGGATTATATTTGTTTGTTAAAAGAGCAAAAATTCAAATACGTGTTACACTTTTATGCTACAATGACATTTATAATCAACCCAAATTTAGATATATTTATCTAATTATTTATTGATTTTATTTTTTAATTTGTTTGCATAGTGTTGCAATATTTAAAAAAATTATTAAGATATATCTCTACAGGATACAAACATTGTCGAAAACCATTAATTATATTTATAAAGTTATCAATAATACTCAAAATAATTTTATATCAACAAATAAACCATCACCAAATAAAATAAATATTTAATATTTAAAAATAGACATTTACAAACAAAAAGAGAACAAATAAATTATTTGCAAGTGCAAACTATACAAGCATCAAATTCACAAGATAGCAAAATGAGAGAATAATTAGCTATACACAAATAAACTAACCATAATAAAAAAATACAAAATACAAAAGATCACGTTAATTATACGTAATGAAAAATTATACAATATACTAAAAAAATAAGTACAATAACAGAGTATGAAAGTATATGGTGTGATTTAAGATATAAAGTCGTGTTAGAAAGATAAAAAATAAAAAAATAAAAAAGAGAGAGAGTATAAAGAGAATCACATAAGTCCAATAAAATCTCAACAATTTGATGAGAATTCGGCTAGGACTTTCTCTTTGTACTTTTGTTAAAAAAAAAAAAGTCCCTGTCTCACAATATAAAAAGTCTCATAAAATCTTCATATTTTAAGTATCGAATGACTTATAGAGACTCCCAAAAAGTTTTAATTAAAAAAAAATAAAAAAAAATCCCTGTCTCACATCAACTTGTATTCACTATTTATCTGCTGAAAATATTTTCATCCATCTATTAATTTTAATAATAACTCTCTTACTTTTACATCACATTAATTTTAATTATCATATTTTAAATATTATTTAAAAACAAATTCTATATTTCACAAAAAAAATCAGTTCACTTTAACTAATAAATTCAATCAAAATGTTTTTATTTACATTCAATGGCGGGATTTATTTAGAACAACCTAATTTCCACAAGAACCTTAGACTAATGATATTCTTTTGGACTTTGAAATGCAGTGGTGGTTGGGTATATATATGTGCTCATTACTTTGTTTATTCAACTGCAAATTTGTTGATTTTCAACATGAGATATAACTTTTTAAGTTTTTGTACTAACTAGTAGATATTAGTAAGTAATGTTTGAGAATTTAATATTAAATTTAGATAATGGACATATTACATTTTCAAAAATTTGATCATTAGGAAAAATAAATTAACGATTTTATTATTATGAATAATTGTTTATTATCATTAGATAATAACAGTTTAATTATTATTATTATTATTAAAAAATAATTATTTATAAGCTTCTAAAGTTGTTTGATTATGATATTAAAATAATTTACTAATTGTTTTTAAAGAAATTTTTTCATGAGATACAAAAAAAAGGTAGTATTGATGTAATTATAAATAACTTGAAACAATTGTTTATAATTATGTAATTTATATTTATTGTGAATTATTATTAGTTGGTATTAGCAATAACTATTATATAATATAATAGAAAAATGCGTGATTACACTTAATAAGATGTGTTAATGTGAAAAGCAAAATGTTGTACCGAAAAAAAATGTGAGAAGTAAAAAAATATTAATGATAAATTTTGTAACTGAAAATAGAGA